CCGTCCGGAGCGGCCCCCCGCCCGGGTCGGAACGCCGTGGCTCCCCTCTGCTTCCACCTCAGTAACGACCTGGTCGGGGCTCTCATAGGTAGTAGCGGCACCACTGTCACCCCCCGCTGCTTGGTCACTGAGGGAAGCGGGTGGGGAAGGACGAGAGGACCCGGCTGCCGAGAAGTTGATTTGTAAGGGCCCCAGCCCCTGACATCTCCCTTGCCTGGGGATGGCAGGATGCTTTTGTGGCGTCCTGGCTGAGAGTGGAGTTCTCCCACTCAGAAGGGTAGCTGAGCTTTTCCTCCTTACAGTGGTTGGGTTGGTGTGTCTCTCATGGTCAGCAGTCTGTAAGTGCCCTGAAGCCCCTTTTTAGTCATGTGGGGCAGGGGTGGCTATCCCTTGAGCTGGTTTTGCTGCTGTCTCTCTTCAACTGAAGTACCTTCCCCAGCACCTTGTGTTCAGTTATTTGCCAAAGAGTTGCCTCCATTTACAACAGTGTGGTGTCACAAGTTCTTTTATTTACAGGTGCATGCACTTGTGTGAAGAAGGTCTTAAGTTCTGGTCACAACCAAAATACTTATAGTTATGATGTCTAGTTTTTGACTGTTTGACCTGTATCTCTGTAATACCTGCAGTGTCTTTATAACAGGTCGGGGTGGAGCTAAAATAAGAGAACTTGAGGGATCTTCAGGTTCCACAATAAAGGTACCATGCACTGTGTGTCATGCAGTCTGGACTCAGTTTGGAACACACTTGAGTTTGCTTCCCTGTAAAGCAGCTTGAGGGGTGTTGCAATGGCTGTAATAATTCAACTATTTTTCAAGAATTGGTAGTAAGCAAGGGGAATTGAGAGTGCAACTTGACTTGTATGTGAAAGCAGGAAAAGCTTACCTGTTCCCCCCCCACACACCTCTCCCCTTAAGTCTCTATTTATTTCCCTTTCTTTTTGAAAGAGAATGAAGGGACCTTTTTCTTGGAAGAGAAGTTAAAATTCAGAAAAAAAAATCATCAAAGATTGCTTTCACCATATATTTTTATATTTGTCTTTGCAATATTAAAAAAAAACCTCAGTAAGTTTTTATGAACGTAGGTTATAAAGGGAGCGTCTGAAGCTGAAGTAAAGATTTTTGGCAGTATTGCTGGGCAAAACAAAGCCAAGATGTTGATTGATGATGCCCTTGCAAGGTCTGGACAAAACTACATTAGAAATGGAACTGAGAGAGGTAAGAAGTGTGCTGGGGGGGGGGGTAATGTACTATGGACTGTCCTTCCATGTATTTGATAGTTTGCTAAGAGTTTTTTTTCTATTATCAGTATTTTACTGAAGTGAACTTACTTTCACCTTGTTCTTGTGTGGTGGAATACCTCCTTAAAACAGAAATATCTAGACATCATCCTTTCTCACCTGTGAACAGTTTCACCCCCACAAACTGCAAGACTTCTGTGAAGATCTGTTCCTATGTGTTTTCAACAGCTTTAATGAATGCAGAATGTTATACTACTTGGTTTCTTGCATTATCCGTTCGATTCCCCCAAAATACAAATATTAGTTCTAGTTCAAGTTTTATTGTAGTATCTGTGCAGTATTAAAATTCCATAAGCTTTCATAAATGTAGGTCTGTAAAGCAAATACACTGATTATAGCATGGGCAACACTGACTTCTTACTACTTTCATGGGACATTAATGTTTTAAGATTTGATGTTGCACATCATGCTTCTTTTTACTAGACTTTATTGTGTTAACGTTGTCTGTTAAATGGGTGTATAAGTAATAGGTTTATGTTGAAAGGCTGCATATGTTACTGGTATTTGTCTTGTATGTACTCCCAAGGACTTTTTGCACAGGTAAAAAGCCATCTGTAGTTGTTGAGCTGAGCCACTGATGAGGAAGAAGGGTTCCAAGGGTTGTTCCAGAATTAGAAAAAAGAATAGAGTAGTTCTGAGTTTAGATATTTTTAAGTACCCTAAAAGGCAAACAAGTAGGTTTCAAGAGGCTAGAAGTAGTTAATGCTTCCTTAGTATGTGTGACTGTTTCCCTTGTTTCCTGCTTTTCCAGTGATATATAATTGTGTTGTTGTTTATATCTTCAGCATAAAACTTTTCTATCAAAGAAAAAGTGTTTTTCATTAAAAAAGGAGCATAGAGTGTAACTACTTTGGGACTTTATTATGCTGTCATTAGATGCTTTAAAAGTAAACCTTGCTCTTTTAGCTGTTAAAAATAGTTTTCTGTATGTCATCCACTGGTTTCGCAAGATTTTTAAAAGGTTGCTGCACAGCAAGCCTTATTTATAGCTGGAGGAGCAGCTTTTTAGAACCTGTCATTGCTTTCTTTAAGTATCTGAAGATGTTGAAATGCTTCTTTTTTATCCGCATGGGATTTGTACAGGTTTTACTGATGTTTCAGGCCAAGACCTAGGCAAGAATTTTCTACTTAAAAGCTTAATATCTATTCAAAAATCACATAAGAGGCCTTACAATAGGAAAATAAAACAAGATGTTTGTTTTGACGTGGGGTTGTCCCTCACCTTGCAACAAATTGCATCAGACAGCAGTGTTTTGGGACTTCCTTTCCACAGGAAAGATCTTGGACACTACCAAGCCTGAAAATAACCCAAAGCAGCCAGTGATTGACTGGGCCTCTCTTCGAAAAAACAGAGCTAAATATGAAGCTATGAAGTGGGCAGGTTAGTTTTAAAATTTTGAGTGTGTGGTGTTTGTCTTTAAATGATAAAACTCTTGAATGCTTAAACGTTCTTAAATTTTGCTGAATGACTGAATCTTTCAGTGTCCAAATTAGTCAAGTATTTGCAGTGAAGTGACCATGTTGGCTTTCTCAGCATGGTAATGGAGGACACAGTAGTTATTGTGTGAAGATGTAAATTTGCTACTCAATTGGTATTTTGATTTTATGTTTTGAAAACACTGTATGTAGCCACAGCAAAAATCTGAGAATCATTAAATATTATGCTATATATATTAGTAGAAACTACTTTAGAATTCGAAATGTGGGGAATTGGTTCTTTTTCAAATACTTGTTTGTCTCAGCCTTCATCTTTTACATGAGCAACAGCAGTCTTCCACCACTTTTGACTAGTCCACTAGTAGAAGGCACTGTCTGGGTGTTCTGTCCCGGTTAGAAGGCAGAACTGTGTCCCACCTCCCTTATCCCTCAGTTTCCCAGATAGAGAGGTAAATAAGGAAGGCAGGGGTAATGAAAACCTTGCACCAAATTGAAGATTAACAAAATGAAATATATTATTTAACAGGGATCAGAAAGGAAGGGGTTTAAACAGGGTACAGAAAGGAAGAAGGGTAGGGGTTTAACAGGGAAGGGGGTTTGTAGGAACAACAAGGTAAGGAAGATTAAACTTCCAAATATACAAAACCCAAATGCTGTGCTGAGGCTCCCCGGTGCTGGATCTGGCTGGATTGAGGTGGATTGAAGCTGGATGCACAATCCTTCGACGTGGATGGAGGCAGGGAAGAGTCTGTAGATCAGGCCCAGGTCTCCAAGATGGCCACGGCCACGTGTAGCACAGGGAGCAGCAGAGCAGCGTGTGCCCAGGTGCAAGGTCAAAGGAGCAAGAGGAAGAGAGAAAAGAAGAGGCGTGCCTTTCTCGCCCCTTTTATAGACCTTGGCAGGAAGTCCCGAAGACAGGAAAAGGGGAGTGGGAGTAGGACAGGTGTACGCCCCTTTCATTCAGGCTTGTACCTGGTTTAGGGTTTCAGATCTCCACCCACCAGGGGCAGCAGGTTTCAAACCTTCACACTGGGTTTTGGGTTTTCTACCATAAGCTTTAGCAGGCTTAGGCTGAGTCTGTGACATTTCTTACTGACTCAAGTTTACTTTTTTCTGATTCAGGCTTGCCTCCAATTGAGAAGAACTTCTACAAAGAGTCATCAAGGACTGCATCTATGTCACAAGAAGAAGTGGAACTGTGGCGGTAAGATCATTTCTATAAAGAATCATCTGCTTGGCAAAAATAAATGTTATGTAGAGCCCAGAAAGAGGGAGATGAAATACTGAGACAGAAGCTTTAATGTTAGGGTCTTGTAATAACTTAGAACTTCTTAGGAATTTAAATAATAGCTAGTAGATGAGGTGTTATTGCTACTTGGAAGATTAACTTTTAGGGATTAACTGCTTCTCTAGCACTGTTTGATCTAGTTGACTTTTGGAAGGGAAACAAATCAAGGTAGTTCATTGACTTTTGGCTGTTTCTTTGCATTTTGTGAGTCAGCATGTTCACATTTTCTAGGTCCTTCCAAATATGACTGTTCACGTGTTGAATACCTCCTCACTGCTATTTCTCCCCGTATATTTTGGTCGAATACCATCTTCAAAACAAACTTCAACTTCTGTTACTGTTGCCTTCCTATCTATCTATCTAGTCTTTGCAAGTACATGCCTCAGATAACTATCAATTTTACAGCCTTACTTTGCAAGAAAGGCAGTTAATCTCTTTCAGGTGATTCTGTTCAGGCCCTCGTAACGGTTTCAACCCTTTTCAGTATTCTAATGAAGCTGGTGAACATTCTTGGAGTGTTAGCTTCTATTACTTTTCTTTTTGCATGATGTCTGTTTTTTGAGTGTGTGTTTTTTTTTTTTCTCTGTATGCCTGCCAGAGAAACTTTGTCACAGTCAGTGAAGCATGGGGTTGACACCTAGAATCATAGAATCCTTTAGGTTGGAAGACACTTTTAAGATCATCAAGTCCAACCATTAAGCCATTAGGGCTCTAAAGTCCTCTGCTAAAACAGATCAGAATCTGTCAGGGTTGGAAGGGACCACAAGGATCACCCAGTTCCAACCCCTCTGCCATGAGCAGGGACACCTCCCACTAGATCTGGCTGTCTAGAGCCTCATCCAGCCTGGCCTTAAAGACCCCCAGGGATGGGGCCTCAACCACCACCTTGGGCAACCCATTCCAGGGTCTCACCACTCTCATGGTGAAGAACTTCCTCACGTACAGCCTGAATCTGCCCACTGCCAGTTTTGCCCCATTCCCCCTGGTCCTGTTGTTACTCGATAGCCTAAAAAGTCCCTCCCCAGCTTTCTTGTAGGCCCCCCTAAGATACTGGAAGGCCACAATAAGGTCACCTCGGAGCCTTCTCTTCTCCAGACTGAACAGCCACCGCTCTTTCAGTCTGTCCTCACAGGAGAGCTGCTCCAGCCCTCGGATCATTCTCGTGGCCCTTCTCTGGACACGCTCCAGCAGGTCCACGTCCCTCTTGTAATGGGGGCTCCAGAACTGGATGCAGTACTCCAGGTGGGGTCTCACCAGAGCAGAGGGGGAGAATACACCTGGTTCCTTAGAACTAGTCAAGTGGAGCAGAACATCCTTCAGTAGATTCAGAGCATGCATGGAGGCATAGTGAAGTTCTCGTTTTTTATCTGATCTGTTTGCTTTAAGGAAAAAAAGATTAATTGAAAAACAGGTTTTCTTAAACATCAGGAGAGGCTGAATTGCCCGTTCTTTTCCTAGCCCACACCCCACCTGAAGTAAAGCTATTTGCTAAATGGAATCTTCAGAGTAGTACAGAACTGGAGTGAAGATAAACTACTTATGTGTATTAATACCTCTTAATTGGGAAGAGCCTCAGAACGACGGTTTTTAATGTGGCTTCTTGTGTGCATTGTTGTGTTCTGCATGTTGATTGGTTTTAAGGTGGGTTCGGTTTGGGGTTTTGAGATTTTTTTTTTTTTTTAGCTTGTCTTACTGACCACTTTTTTTTCTCAACTGTTCTGTTTGTATTTTCTGGAGCATCCAGGAAGCTGACAATGTTTTGGGGAAAGCTTTGGTCAGAATTTAGGATTCTGACAATAGTCCAGTCCATTCCTCTATGTTGTGGGTTGTCTTTAGGTTTAAAAACTTGTCACAGTTACTTGATTTGTAATAGAGAGTAACTGAAACCTGACAGGACAGGACTGCAGTTCATATTAATAACCATATATAACTTCAAATTAGTGTTTCTTAAGAAAAAAAAATGGTGATTGATCGCCTCCAGAAAAAGTGTTTCTGTAGTGAGGCTTTCTTAAAGCTTGGAAGAATACTTACAAGTCTCATTCAAGAGCTTGAACTCATTTTTTCTTGTTCCAGGAATTTAAAACAAAAATTAAAAAAATCAGAAAGGCAGTCTTTTCAATTAGCTCTAATTTTCGGATAACGAGTCTTAAAGCAATTGCACTTCTTTAATTCTACACAGGAAAGAAAATAATAATATCATTTGTGATGACTTAAAAGAAGGTGAAAAGCGCTGCATTCCCAATCCTGTTTGCAAGTTTGAAGATGTATTTGAGCATTATCCTGACATTATGGCTAATATAAGAAAAGTTGGCTTTCAAAAGCCTACACCAATTCAGGTATTTCTTCAATTTTGGTGAGTCTTTAACTGAAGTTGAAGAGAAGAGCACACTGAAGTATTTTCTTGTTTTATGGCAGTCCCAGGCATGGCCGATTATACTCCAAGGAATTGATCTTATTGGCATAGCACAGACCGGTACCGGGAAGACGCTAGCGTACTTAATGCCTGGGTTCATTCACTTGACTTCACAACCAATGTAAGGACTGCTCACGTGTCTGACTCAGTTAGCTGTCGATACTTCCCTCTGCCTCCAGCCCCCATGTGGGCTGTAAAGAAGTTTCTAGTAAAGACGATCATAAACCACAAATTGGGAAAAAAATTATAAACTTGGTGGAGTAAGTGCGAGATTTGTCACCATAGATACGGTTAGCAGTGTACTGAGAAAGTCTAGAACAGTATAAAATTAGTTGATGTCTGATGTGATGGACTTTACCTAGCCTTATATACCCATATTCTAAAGATACCTTATTGCAGATCCAAAACCGAGCGTGGGGGGCCTGGAATGTTGGTCCTTGCTCCCACTCGAGAGCTGGCACTTCAAGTAGAGTCAGAGTGTGCAAAGTACAGATACAAAGGGATTAAAAGGTAATGTTACTTCTCTCTTACTTGCAAAATAATTCCTTTTTTTCTACCACTTGTGGCTTAACTTACTTAGTAGAATAATTGCATCTGCAAAGAGAGGAGGGGAAGGTTGTAAGCTCGGAGTTGGTGTTTTCCCAGGTTTTAGAATGCTTCTTTTGACTACATTTACGTTGAAAACTTGATTTCTTATATAGTTAAGAGTTCTCTGTATTGTGGCTTTGTTGCTTGTCCTGTGTGGACAGCTGAGAAGAGTATGTCTGTCTTTTCTCAGTACCTTGCTGTTCAGTAGTTGTGGACAGCAGTAAGATCTCCCTGAGCCTTCTCTTCAGGCTGAACAAGTCTCGCTACCAGCTCCTCACGTGAAGAGGATGGAGTGCATGACCATCTTGGTAGCTGCCTGCTGGACTTGCTCTAGTGTCAATATGTCTGTCTTGTAATAGAGGCAGAGGGTACAAAACCTGGATATTGTTTGAGGTGTGGTCTCACAAGCACTGAATGAAGGGGAAGAATGAGTTCTCTCAACCTGCTGGCTACCCCCTCCACAACTGGCTTTATTTTTTTGTGGGATTACACTGCTGGAAAAAGTTCAGTTTCTTGCCCACTCAAGTCTTTCTGCAAAGTCATCTCCTAGCATGTTGGCCCTCAGCCATGAGGGAATTCCATCTTTGTTTTTGGTATTGAATAAACTTCATGGGAATTCTGTCAGCCCATTTCTCTATCCTTCTGTTGTTCTGAGTAATGGGCTAGACATCTAGAGTATTGACTGTTTCCCCACGTTGGTTTCATCCACAAACCTGCTGAGAGCATGGATCTTGATTTAAGCTATTAGACAGTACTATGCTCTGAAACTTAGGGCTTTCTGGTAACTTTGTATAGCATTCAGAGTTAGTCTTGTAGTTATCAAATACTGAAATGCCCATTCTGCTTCCTTCCCAAAAATATTAATGACTTTTACATAGCATGTTAAGCTTGTGTGTCAGCCTAATATCTTACAAGTGTGTTTATTGTTTTGACACCAAAACACCTGACTTTCGATGGTACTGTCTAGAAAATTATGCATCCCTTTCATACCTTCATCTATTTTTGGTGTGAATATTTTCAGAACAACCCAAAACATAGCTTAATAGCTACCTTTCATGATGACTTTCACTGCAGTTTCAGCAGAACGCTATTTCTGAACTGTTGAGAGAACATCATTCAGTGCTAAGTCCGTAATTTACTGCGATATTGCCAGTCTCACTTCGTGTATTCCTTCCTCTTGGTGATACCAGATACTTTTTTAAATGAAGCAATATGGTAGCACTTATTCGAGACAGATTTACTTTAGTTGAGCCTTAATACACTGCTTCTGTAAAACATTTCCTCTTTCAGTATTTGCGTCTATGGTGGTGGGCACCGAAAAGAGCAGATAGACGTGGTTACCAAAGGCGTGGACATCGTCATCGCTACTCCTGGCAGACTGCACGATCTCCAGATGAACCACTTCATAAATCTGAAGAGCATAACGTACTTGGCAAGTAGCTGATGGGGAACAAGTAACGCATCTGTTGGGAAATGGTTGACTTAGTGAGAACTTAAGCTTTAATGAAGTTTTCTTTAAAATTTTAAACTCTTAGTTACAGTGCACCTTAACATTGAGATTGGTGTTGGAGGGATGGTTCATATTTACCGTAATTGCGTTGCAGAGGTAGAGTTTTCCCTAGGAAAAAATAGACTTCTAGCACAGTAAGCATTTTAAAGATGCTGAATTATGTCATATTAGCAATGTTGGCTGTTTTAAAGTTCATTTTGTCAGGATCAGTTACTAACGGAGGAAATGCTTTTCGCAGGTTTTCTTTTCACTTTAAATGTTACCAGTGACTCTCATTGTTTCTGGAACTTGTATAGTAAGCAGCAGAGTTGCAAACAGACATTTACATGTTTGGCTCACTGACTTTCTTTTGAATCTCAGTGGGAAAATAGTTCTGTTAAGAATCCTCGTATCTTCATTTCATTTGTGCCTTTTGCTGTGCTGGACACTTAAAATCATTATTTTGTAAGATACTTTCATATATTCAAATTATTTTGGAGTTCCCTGTGTGACTGGTGGCTTGTTGCCTGGTTTGAGAATTCACCCTGCTTTCCCTCCATTGTATTCACCCCCACTCCCCTCTAAGGGTTAAATACTCATGCAAGTTACCCTGACAAGGGTAACTCAAGTTACCTCAACTCATAGCTGATGGTTGTGAGCTTGCTGGCAAGGCAGGTGGTGGTGTAGCAAAATTAGAAATTGGGCCATTTGGAAAAAAAGAATATTGGAAGACAGAAGAGTAGCCTTATGTAGAAGAGTAACATGTAATTAAGCAGGAAGAAAAAAGGCCTGAAAACCTGCTTTCTGAGAATTATAGGAACATTTGTAATCTTTCTCTGTTGCGGTGAAATGTGGTCATACTACAAGCACACACCGCTTTGTAAAGCAAAGAATATATATGTAAGCAAAATCAGGTGTTTTGGTATGAGCAGCATATACTATAGTATGACCTTACTAAAAAGAATTACCTATCAAATTAAAAAAATGGGATTTAAAGCAGGAGAAAAACATTTGATATTGTATCACTAGCAGCTAGATATTTTTATCAGAAGATTGAAACTGCTGCAAGGACTGTGTTTTGCAAAGTGGTTAGTCATAGAATCATTTTGTTTGGAAAAGACCTTTAAGATCATCAAGTCCAACCATTAACCAGACTCTGCCAGGTCCACTGATAAACCACATCCTTAGGCACCGTATCTACACAACCTTTACACACATCCAGGGATGGCAATTCAAACACTTCCCTGGGCAGCCTGTTCAGTGCTTGACAACCCTTTCAGTGAAGAAATTCTTCCTAATATCCAACCTAAACCTCCCTGGCATGGCTTTCTGGAAATGCTGTGTTTCTTTAGAACCCATATGAAAGCTGGACATCCAACACTCTAATGTTATCATGTATTTTCCCCTGTAGTGCCTTGTATTTTTGACTATATTAGTTACTTTTTATTTTCACAGTCTCATTGTTAGCATATAAATAATTTAATCCTGAAGTCTTATTTCAGAGAAAAGAGAGGGATGTTACATTTCAGCTTTCACACATTGGATGAAGAACACTCTTCATTGAAGAGCATTCACAGTTTTCATTTAAAGATATTGATGAATCCTGTGAATCCTCTTAAAGTATACTCAGTATTATTTGCTGGTATGACATTGTTTCCCAAAGGACTTCCAAGGTCAGAGACTGGAATAAAATTGTTTATCAAAGAAAAAAAAAAAAAAACCAAAACTTTGCATGTTTAAATACTGTTAAATCTATACATGAGCTGAATTGGAGGCAGGGAATTTGTGATCTTGTGTGACAGAACCATCAAGTTAGTTGCAGTCTTGATTCAGATTTTTAGAAACCGACCTATTCAAGACAGATTGGTGTTTTTTGTAATTTCAGAGGAAACTCTGGGAAATCTGTCACGTATGACCTTTTGATTGTTTATAATACATGTCATTCGAATATTGATTCTTCTCATTCTGTGTAAATCAGTATTCATTTTTCAGTAGTCTGAGTGCTTTTTGCTTTTGACCTTATGCTCATAAAACCGAAGTAAAGAAATTGGAGTTGTGCATGAACAATTGGGAAGCATTTAGTGCAAAGAGTATACTAAAAAAAATATAAATCACAAAGTAGGATATAGATGGTAGATTGGAGTAGTCCTTTTATTCTTCAAATACGAGAAAAAGTAGTGTAAAACTTAGCAGTAACTAATTTAAAACATGAAAGAAAACAATTTTTGAGTGAAGAGCTGGCTTGTAAGAATTTCTTGCCAAGAAATAGAATGAAAATTAATAATATTAACAAACAAGTATGTATAGATAACAAAAAGTTGTTAAGATTGTCAGCTGCTGGGAGATGTAGTTTATAAAACAGGACCTGGCTATGAGCAATTTGGAAAAAATTGTGCTGATATCCATCTTATCTATAATGGCCTTTATTTGTTATTGAGCAGCTATCAGAAGTCAGGAAATTAAACTTCAGCTACTCTAATCCATCTAATACCCATACTCACGTGTTTTCTTCTCCCTTTCCAGCGAAGTGTGCTTGACAGCTTGGAAAGCTGCTGCTGCTGAAAGTGGCGTAGTAGCTGACTGCATATAAAATTGATGTTTCAGCCTTGCCATTGTATTAGAATCCAAGTAGTTAATGAAATCTCTGAGACTCCTTTGAAAATAGAGGGAATTAAATCAGGAAACAGAATTCTTGTCTTCTGTCTCTCAGATGATGATCTATTGTTATTTCAGAGATACACATAGGTAACTTACTAAAAACCTAATAGAATAAAACATCTGAAAAGAACGGGACAGCAAAATCAGGACAGGGGAAAGGGATTATCAAAGGCTTATGTTTCCAAATAAGTGACTAGACAATGTGAATACTTAAGCATGATCAATATAACTTTGATTACTATCAAAGTTACTATTTGAAAATTGAAGGAGAAAAATGAATTTTGGGTGGCAGCCTTCTTCCATCATAAGACTCTGAAAACATTGGCAAGTGTGTATGTATATTAGATAAAAGATCAGTTCCAAATAGTTGTACTATTGGACCTTCAGCTCACTTGTTCTCTTGAGTTTTTTTACCAGATGAAATAAATTTGGGCTCTGGGAGTTCTGCAGCGTCCTAGTGTGAGCTAGAACACACAGTCTGGCTTTTTTTCCTACTTCTAGGAAGTAGGAACTAAATTGATAACTGATATTTTGGTCTGGTATGAGATCTCTAACAAGGTAGAAATGAGATTTCCTGTTTGAACTACCAAAAATTTCTTCCTCGAAGTATGTTATTTGCGGTTGACCTCCAGGGTTGGGTTGGGTTTGGGTTTGGTTAATTCTGTGCTTAGTTTTAGGCACCAAGTTAGTGTTAAAACAAATGGTTGTTGTTTCTTCTTCATTGACTTTGAGTGCTCTTAAAGGTGCTGTGGGCTTTCTTGTTCTGCCCAAAAATGTATTACTAAATGAAAAAGCTTCAAGGGAATTGAAGAGGTGACACAGACATTGAACAGGTTTCCCAGTACATCGTGGGTGGGTTCTGCAGTTACAATGGTTGCCATTAAAATGGTCTGCTCTTCAGGGCCTTGCTGAAACCCTCATCTAAGGAACTAGTCACAACAAATAACCTTGTTCTGAGCAGGTGTTAGACGAGGCCGACAGAATGCTGGATATGGGATTTGAACCTCAGATAATGAAGATCTTAATAGATGTGCGGCCTGACAGACAGACTGTTATGACAAGGTGCATAAACTAATCGTGCTCACTACTTGAACACTGTAAGCTGGAGATTATTGAACAAATTAACTTCAAAATAAATGTGGCACTTTTAATAAAATTGTCACTAGCCTAAATGGCAGTGGCATCAGTTTGCTTTCTAATTGTCTAATCAGTCCTAATGAGTTATTTGGCAGTTTTATTTTGTACACTTTTTCTTATGTTTTACATAAACTATAAAAACAACTTAGTTTTCATAAAAAATGAAGGTGTCCTGGGAGTGCTAGAATTTGCCATATCAATTTGAAATGCCAGCTTCTCCATCTGGGTCCAAATTGTATCCTAACTTTTTGATCAGGATCTGTGCTAATCTGTACCTAGATTAATTTTGAAATTATTCAGATTCTTGGGATTTTAGAGTATCCCAACTGTTTTTATTGTATTTTACATTTGAGCTGTTTGAGAGATAAAAAGAGACTAGAAACTTTTTGATTAGGTATCATTGAACTGCTAAACTTGCTTCTGACTTAATTATAAAAACTCCGCAACTGTTGTGTGTCCTTCTAACAGAGAAAGATATCTTCAAAGCTTGAGTGCTCTTTCCTCATAACTTCTTAAGATTATTTCTAAATGTTGTACAACCTGACTGCTGTTACTGCATACTCAAGTGTTTCACTGGTGTCTAGGAAAGAAAATAAGGGATGTGGTTAAACTGAGGAACTGGTGATTTTGCACTCTGTTCTCACGTGTGTTTTCCTGTTTAGTGCTACCTGGCCTGACGGTGTTCGTCACCTAGCGAAATCTTATTTGAAAAACCCTATGATTGTATATGTTGGCACTCTTGACTTAGCAGTGAGTTGTTCTGCTCTTGTTTTGGTGGTATGGGGGTTTTTGGGTTTGTTTGTTGTTGTTTGGCATTTGTTTTGTTTTTTTCTTTTGGAGAAGAACCTATGGTTAAACCAGGAAAAATTTTGCTTGTAACTGTTTACCATGGAGTGAAGTTTTTATTGACAAACCATGGATGGAAGAATTGGACAAATCTCATAATTTCAAGTTGACTAAAGAATCTTCTTTAAAAGCTTGTCCTTTCAAGCAAGACTTCCAGTGTTCCAGCTTGCTCTGGATTAGTATAAAATATACTAATATTGAAGTACTTTAATCTGCTTTTCACTAATATAAGGAATATATCTTTCACCTCGCTAGTCCACTAATCTGTACCCTCTAAATCTCTGCAAATATGTGATTTGGCAGACTGCTGAAAGATAAGTTTTTCTATTCTCCTAAAAGAACTAGGAGAAAGTAAATTTTCATTGTCTGAACTCCAAACTGGTATATATTTTGATTTTCAAATAGGTTTTGTGCAGTATCATGTTACTAGTTTTATAATACCATAATATGGAAATTAACTGGGGAAAAAAAATTCTAATTTGTTTCTACTTAACATCCCTTTTTTGCTGTTTGACAGGCAGTAAATACAGTAGAGCAGAGAGTTATTATTGTCACTGAGGAGGAAAAGACAGTTTTGATGCAACACTTCATTGAATCTATGAAGCCAAAAGATAAGGTCATCATTTTTGTGGGAAGAAAAGTTGTGTATGTGATCACTGTCTTGTATTACATCTGTTCTTTTTTTTTTTTTTTTTGAACAGAAATACTGGATAGTTTCTGTTCTGAGTTTACATAGTAATTACCAAGTGTAACATCTCTTGTCAGCAGTGTACTAGTAGTAGTATATTTTTTTTAATGATAGACTTATCTATTCCTCCAGACTGACTGGTCATTTGTGTCTTTTTTAATACAGTTAATAGTGCTGGTAAATCTCAATTTCATGCAGATAAAGCAGACATTAAGATTCTTGGGGGTGCTTTAACCTGATGTGCTGGTTACTTTCATAGGCAGCTGGTGTGTAGAAGACCTGGTTGGGGAGAAGGGGTGGTCACTGGACTGTACCTGAGCTTTTGGAGTGAATAACACAAAAATCGTATTATTTCTAGTCATGTATCTATAAAAGCAACTATGTATGTGTGGAATATCAATAATATCAGCTGACCTAGGTCAGGTTTTCTCCTTGGGTATGCATTTTACCTTCTGTTGAATTTTATTGTCTTTTGGATCAGAATCTAGATGCTGCGCTTTGGGGTTTTTTTCATATTTTTTTTCTTTTTAAGAGCCACTGTTTTATTTCATCCTAGAGCTGATGAGTTAGCAAGTAACTTTGGTCTCCAAGGAATTCCAGTACAGTCACTTCATGGTAACAGGGAGCAGTATGATCGAGAACAGGCTTTAGATGACTTCAGGAAAGGTGTGTTTGTATTGAAGTACTGGTTTGTTTAGCCCAGGTTTCTAAAGTTTGTCACATGCAGAACTTTGTGCATGCCATGTCTCTTCAGTACCATAGAAATGAAAATATTGAAAAGCTCTGAATGATGTGTACTTTGTTAATTTGAGAAACTAAAAACCCATCAAATATAAAGAGACTGCTCTTCAATCGAACTTTGAATGTCTAAGGGTTAGATAATTTAAGGCTTATTTTAGTTTTGAAATCTCAGTGGAGAAGTCAGTATTGTGCTAGTCTACAAAACAGTAAATTTAAGAGTCAAATGATGGTGCTTTGAGTGAAATGGTTCTGCTCTTAATTTTGCCAGTAGGGTTATACTTTGGGGTTATGTGATCACATGCTAATAAAACAATGAGTAGTCCTATAGTAAGGATGCCAGCTGAGAATATAGAAGTTTCTGTTCTTTTCAGAGACTTGTATCAGCTAGGCCTGCTTCTTGCTTCTGCACCTTACTATGCTACTTGTGAAATAAAAATAATACTAAAATGGTATTTTAGTGCTTACTTTACCACCTTGTCTTTAAGAGTAACTCAGTTGTGACATGCAACAAATGTATTTTTCCTTTATGTGTCAAGTGCATTATACACTAGAAAAACAATAGACTGGAGTATATTTTCTGTTTATTCCATAAAAGCATGTTCTTTCTCCGTTGAACTCATTTTAGGCAAAGTAAGAATACTGGTAGCTACTGACTTAGCATCCCGTGGCCTCGATGTGCATGACATTACTCACGTGTTTAACTTTGACTTCCCTCGCAACATTGAAGAATACGTTCATAGAATAGGTCGTACTGGAAGAGCAGGGTAAGTGCTGACAAGAAAATAGTGATATATTCCCAATACTGTGTGTGCTGCAAATGTGCTGCTTCTGTCAAATGCTAGAGCTAGAGGTGACGTGAGGTGGGGGGGGGTGAAGAGTCCAGAGCCTGTCAAAGTATGTTTTAGATAATGACACACTTCTTTATGTTTTGAGGTTAGTTTGCTGTTAAATTTAAGGCAAACGAGTTTTCCAGTTTTCTTTTTTTTTTTTTTTTTCATTGAAAAGGATGTTTGAAAGGCAGTTTAAATGTGGGGAAGAAATACAGTTCAAAGCAACTTCTGTGTAGGTATCTGGAATGTTACTTCCTTGTTTCTCTTCATGAGCCACTGGCTTCAGCCCGTTGGGGAAAAAACATATATAAGTTCAAAGTTTTCAGCCCATCATGGCGGTGGTGTTTGGTGTTAGGGCTTTTGAATGCTACTTGCCCAGATTGGCACAAGTGTGATTTTTTTTTTTTCTTATGTATATGTTTATTTTAATTATGATATGAATGCATGTCTCTTCATACTTAAATAGGCTTTCTTTATGCCAGCTTTATTGTCCAAAAGGCTGAATTAGTTGTGCCTTTGCTCCATTTTGGGTGGATTGCCATACTCTGATCTTTAGGAATTGCTTAGTAAATGCTCAAGCTGGTTTTATCTACCAGTTCTGTAATATTGCCTGTAGAATAACTCATTGTTGTATAGGTCAGTAGGAAAAGCCTAGCAGCAGTTTTATTTAAGATCAACAGTGATTTCATTCCTCATTTAGATGTACTGGGGTGTCAATAACACTTGTCACTGAGAAAGATTGGAGGGTTGCATCTGAGCTGACTGAAATTCTGGAAAGAGCAAAACAAGTAAGAATACATCTTACTGGGTAAGATCTATATTCTTTCTGGGTTGCCACCTGAAACCATCTTTGAAGGTCTAAACCTGCTTGGACTTTTCTTGGTAAGTGTTTGTACTGTCTCAGGCAAAAAATTGGTACTTCAGTCTCTCGTGTCCTGAATATCCTTAGCTGTATTTTGCCTTACACATGAGTCCTAAAGAAGAACCTGGGAGCTTTAATCAAAGCCTTCCAAATCCAAAGCAAAAGTAACTAACATAGAACTCTACAGAGGAATATTAAGATCTATTTCATTTCATAGTATTCCATTCCAATATTGCACTTCTGGACAGATCTATCAATGTTCTTATTGAACACTGTAAGTATTAACAATATTTATGTCAGAAGAAACTCAACTGCCTTTCAGTTTATTATATCTGACAGCTGTGATATTTCCATGTACTTCACCGAAGTGTATTTCTCACAGATGCTTGTCAATAGTATGGGAAATAGGACTGGAATGTGATTTATTTCTTTAAAATAAAGAAATATTTTTTCTTGGTACTCTATCTGAGAAGCCAGAGACATGTTGCTGTCTCTTGCTGTAACAAGAAACAGTATTTTGCCTGACTTACAGTAAACATGACCTGACACAAGTTGAAATTTTATAGTTGTTTTTTTTTATTTTAGGGGGATGGGAGTTTGAGTACAAACTCAGTATCTTTTACCTAGGATCTGTGATTGTTATTGTGGACACTTAGTCAAACTTTAAACCCCGAGTTAGAGATTCACCTAAATCTTATTTTTTGCAACTCTTCTTTGAAAATTGTTATGCCAATTACTGCAAACCTGGTAAGATGCTTTTGAGGGAGAAGAACAGAAAACCCTACAACAACAAAAAAATATTCTTGGAACTTCAGGGCTTGGGGTGTGTGGTTGGTTGGTTTTGGGTTTTTTGGTTGTTTTTTTTTTTTTTTTTTTTTTTTTTGTTGTTTTTTTTTTTTTTTTTTTTTGTTTTTTTTTTTTTTTAGAAAATGTAAGTGATTAAACTGGTAATGATACTTTAAAACCACTTAAACAGGTACCTTGTTTGGTATTCTGAGTCAGCCATTATCATCCGTGCCTAGTCTCCTGCTGTACATTGTGAAGTTCCCAAACTTCTTTAACATGTGACAGTTCAACTGGGAATGGGTCCCTGAGTTCAGAGGAGAAAAGAGCATCTCTGAATCCTTACTTCCAAGGTCAACTGTTAGTCCCAACATTATTCTTAAAACTTCTAGTTAAATCTGATAGGAGGGCAGTATCCATATAGGCAAGGTTTTCTTTCCTCATGACAGTAAAAGCAGCATTACTTCAGTCTTAAAGCATCACGTAAAAGGGAAGGAAGGCAATTGAAAACATGGGCTGAAGGTTCAGAATACTTCAATTTCAAAACAAGTAAGGTGCATTTGTTAGCCAGGTGTTCTCCATGATTTTGAATATACAGATAATCTCCCTAAAGAAAAGCAGGTACAACAGTAGATTTGTGTCATGCTGCAGGGATCTTTATATATAAGCTTATTAAGACGTATGAACAGATTTGTTAGGCAATCGAGTGGAAAACCACCTGATAATAAAGGGTAGGTGTATATGTTTATATATATGGATGCAGATTATTATGTAGTGACAAGAAGGTTACGTGTAAATTATGGCATCTTTGTCCTTTTCTGTTTTCTCATTTGGACTACCACACCTGCTTACATGTTATGGATGGACAATCTGCATATATGTTAATGTATACAGACATATACTATATGTATTTAGTAGGGTATAACCTCTTAGTGGCACTGGACATTTTTTCCAGCTGTTTGTTATCACTAAAAGATAACTTCTATCTGAAATAATACAAGTCTTTTACTCTAGCTGGTTATAAGTTGTCATCAGATATGGTGATACTAGGATGCATGCATCCATGTATCCATGGAAAGTCCAGGGACACTGCCTATTGTTTTTCAGTATATTTCAGTATAAACTTGTATAAAAGATTGCTCTATGCCTCTACAGAAAAGACAATCTGCAAAGTGACAAGAGCCAGATAAATACCAAAAACAAGTTTGGGAGGAGGACACAAATCAATAGCATTTTCACAAAGCAGAGTCTCAAAGTTGACAGTTATTTAAAACTAAACTTGTTCTTGTGCTGCATTTTTATCAGGTAGTTCCCAGCGAGCTTATTGCAATGGCAGAAAGATACAAAAGATTTAAAAACAGAAGGGAAGCTGAGAAGGGTAGAGGAAGGTTTCAGAGAAGGCCCCGAAACTAACTCCGATTCCTTGAAACTACTGAAGCAAAGTAAGTGATTATAGTTAACGTTAGCATCTGTGGGCTTGAATTTAAAAGTTTCTTTTGTCATTGGTTGTTTTCTGTACCTGTCCCATTTAAATAAAATGCATTTTTTAAAGTAGCTTAGAAAGGAAAACTGGATTAACTTTACAGAGAAATAAATCTAGTTTTGCACTTGGATACTATTTTCCCCTTAAGAAAAATTAATTTCATTATTTTTTCTTGTGACGTGCATAACTGCTGAAGCCATTGCCTACTGGTTAAAAATATTATGGGCTTGTTTGGGTGTGGTTTTTTTCTAATTAAATGGAGTATTAATATGTAAGAAAGTAAAAGACAATTTTTCCTTTTATTTTCAGAGAACTGTATTGGTGAATGTAAGCCATGTTTGTCAGTATGGCTTCAAAATACTGCCCTTCCACGTTGATGCACCACATCTGCCAGTGGCAGAAGCATTTCCAAGGATAACGTTATTTGAAAACTGCTGTTTGCAATAACTGATTTTTTTTTTTAACTTAACATTGAAAGTAATTTTCGTTAAGACTTGTGTCTCAAGTTTTTTTGAAAGAAATCTTGCTTTTCCTTCTAATGAAGGAGAGCATAAACAAGAAGTATGTGTTTGGCTAGCTGGGAAACAGCTTCTACTCTTGTTCTTGTGGATGTGATTTTTCTAGCTTGAGGAAGAAAAACAGTTTGCTAGAGTTAACAGTCATGAAGAAGAAATCCAATTGATGGTCAGCTTTTATTTCTTTGAGGTAAAGTTGGTTTGAATTTTACATTTGGATGTCAGATTCTGTCACACAGGCTGCTAGTGGTAACAGGGTCTGTCATCATCCTTCAGAAGCTATATGCGAAGGGCCTGTTCCTGCACTGGATGCTTGGTCTGAGCTTGTGTGTACTTGTGTCATAAAAGTAAATGGCAAACTAATAAACTGAATCTGATGAAATGAGAATATTTTAGTGAATGTATTCTCTAAATGTTCTTCTGGCCTTCCCTCATATTGTCTCATACTTGAGATGAAGTCTGGACATTATTTAAGCTGGTAGCTTATCTTGCCTTCAAAAAGTAGGCTAAAAATATGGTCTTCCCATGGCATCTTGAAGAAAAAAGCAAAACATTTATTTGCTTGCAGCACAGTAGCTCCCAAATACTGTGTACTTAGCACCTGCACAATTTTAGTAATAGGAAAAAATACTAATGATAATATTTCCTAACACACTCTAAACATAAGAAACTGAGCTCAATTAGTTCTGAGAATGTCAGAGTCATGCTGCTTTTTGGTTTTGATAACCTTTGCCATGGAGAGTCTTCCTCCTTGATATGGATTTGCCTGTATTGGTCCCATATCTGGAGTAAAATCTAGCAGTTGCTCTGTCACCGGATCACCCCTCCCCAGCAGAGGCAGGGCATTGGGAAAAGGAGAGAAGACCCACGGGTTGAAATAAAAACACTTAATGAACATCAAAACTAGAACCAACGCAAATATAAAGGATACAAAGTTATACTTGACCCAGGGACTGTAGTCTTTGGGGGCAGAATGGTAAGCAAGCCTCTATGGGGATGCGGAGGAGCACGAGAAGGATCAGGAGGAGACCTGCTCCTCAGCGAATTTTTCCTTTAAAGAGAAAATTGCATAGTGTTTTTCCCTTTTGTTTTGTACTATCAGACTACTGATGAGTAACTTATAGTGCAGAAATTCCGGGTTTTAAATATGCAAATATCCATTAGTTATTGTAAACAATGTTTTTAATATTTCTCCTGAAATATTGGGAATCCATTGTTCAACTGATAGTTTATTTGTCTTGAAAGGAAATCACTGCTCACTTTATCTTCCAGGCTGAGCAAGTTGTATTGGGGAATAAAAAAGTGTGGCAGCTCAATCTTCTGCAGGCACTCCAGAAAATACTGCAGATACTTCTGAAAACAGTGATCCAGGTCTCCCAAATGCCAGTCTGTGTCATTTGGCCACATGACACATGCATGGAAAAAAGCAGTTTTGACATGATAGGAACAGATTTTTTCCAGCTTTTTTGAATACTTCATTTTAAGTTGCTCTAGAAGATACTTCAGAAGCTTAAGGCAACCTTTCCTGTTAAATAAAGAAGAATTAGGTACCTTCTACATAGATCTAAGCATGTGTTTTAGATATTTAAATACACATTCATGAAAGCAATAAAAATGTTCTTCCTCTGCTAGACTAACATTTTCAAGGATGTTTTAAATGAAACCTGAAAATCTGTGCAGCACTAGGTTAGATCTAAATCCTAGAACTCCTGGGTATGAAATCAGATTTAGCAATGAGGGATTTCTACTTGAAACAATAGTTTCTGTGCAAGCACCACTTTCACTGGTGGCCACACCAACGTAGAAATGCAAAGTGTTGGTCGGCAGCGCGCTGACACAGCACAGTCTCCCAGCAGCATAACACAAACTTCTGAGCACTGCTTAAGATCCGAGCTGCCCTCTTAGCTTGGCTTTGCACTGAAGGAAAGGCCAGCACCTTGCTGTGGCACACCACAAGGGGAAGAGGTGTACACCATTAACACACTGCTCCTCAGGGTCCTGGCACATCTGATAATGTTTGTAAAGCAAGGGCAAAGAATTGTGCATTAGTTCTCTCCGGACTTTTATGATTCACTACAGGATGTAATTAAGCAAAGCAAGAAGTTGGTTTGGCATTAATGAGGTTCTGTACCTCTCATGGGTTTTGCTCTTTCTCCTTGAAAAAATGCAGAAACCAGTTTTTGTATTGGGAGTGAAAAAATTGCTTTTATTCATCCTGATCCCATTCAGCAGTTCTTTCCTCACCATCGTTTTAGAAATTGCCTGGGAACAAAGTGTAGTTGTTCTCCCAGAGCTCAGAAAGCTGTCATTGAGACTTTTAAGCTGTTTCTTCTAAATGGGACTGTTTGGGAAAGCTTATTTAACCAGTTGCCTATCTTTGCTCTCTGAGGCAAGTCTGGAATGTAAACCTGCAGTATGATTCGTTTCCACCTCTTGCTGAGCAAACGCAAGTCAAAGGTTCAGCGAGTACGTGCAGTCTTCTACTGCTGCAGAACAATGCCCAAAAGCCTTATTCTTGCTCCCTATTACGAGTAATTAGGCTGAGATCAAATTCTTAAATGTTAATCTGTGTGATGGTTTGAAACCTGCTGCCCCTGGTGGGTGGAGATCTGAAACCCTAAACCAGGTACAAGCCTGAATGAAAGGGGCGTACACCTGTCCTACTCCCACTCCCCTTTTTCCTGTCTTCGGGACTTCCTGCCAAGGTCTATAAAAGGGGCGAGAAAGGCACGCCTCTGCCTCTTGCTCTTGCTCTCGCTCCTTTGACCTTCTACCTGGGCACACGCTGCTCTGCTGCTCCCTGTGCTACACGTGGCCGTGGCCATCCTGGAGACCTGGGCCTGATCTACCGATTCTTCCCTGCCTCCATCCACGTCCAAGGGTTGTGCATCCAGCTTCAATCCACCTCAATCCAGCCAGATCCAGCACTGGGGAGCCTCAGCACAGCATTTGGGTTTTGTATATTTGGAAGTTTAATCTTCCTTGTCTTGTTGTTCCTACAACCCCCCTTACTCTGTTTAAACCCCTACCCTTCTTCCTTTCTGTTCCCTGTTAAATAATATATTTCATTTTGTTAATTTTCAATTTGGTGCAAGGTTTTCATTACCCCTGCCTTCCTTATTTACCTCTCTACCTGGGAAACTGAGGGATAAGGGAGGGGGGACACAATTCTGCCTTCTAACCAGGACAGAACAATCTGAAACAGTGCCAGCCTGGCTCACACAGGCTTAATGTATTCAGGTGAAATACCAACCTACAGCACTTTGGGCCATCAGATTCACAGCACGTCTTTGAGCTGCCATGATTCTTCATTATGATCTTCTCAATGTGTGAGAAAGAGAGTCGCCAGGTGTTGCCTAGAGTTGAGTACAAGATGTTAAATTGTTACACGGTAGTAAGTACTATAGAATTATTAAGGTTGGAAAAGACCTCTAAGATCATCAAGTCCAACCCTAAACCAAATATTACCATGATCACTGAACCATGTCCTGAAAAATACCAGCTTCTGACTAGGGAAAAAAAAGTTTGTAATTGACTTAGTTTTAAATATCAGCAATTTCTTTGGGCTTCAAATTGTAATTTACTAACTACAATTAGTTAATTCCTTCTTAATTCCCCAGCTGCTCCACACAGAGACAATTAGAATGGTTAGTAATATAGGACATAGATAATGTTTTTTCAGGCTTTAACTATATTCTTAGACGGTTGGGTTTACTTTAAGCTTCATTCCAAACGTTCCTGCATTTGTTGAACACGACTGAGGATTTACACCATTCATAGAAATATTCTACCTTTCAGTTTCTGTTCTGTATTATTAGTCTTATTGCCTAACCATTCTGGTTTTGAATAAAATAAAATCTTCACTATTGGTTTCAATTTCTTTGTGCAAGGGATAGGCTTGTGAGTATGGCTCGGGTAAGGTGACTGTTCTAAAGAATTTATTTTTCTTCTTCTGGTAATGTTTCTGAAAATAATGATTAGCAAAACTCAACATCCTGTTTTAAAACACCAGCAATTTTCTGTCTTCCTCACACACGTTAGTGTTTCCCTTGCCTGTTTGGTTCAGTTACTCTTTAATTTTGACAGGAAGAGATACTCAGTAGAGCAGCAACAATTTATTTGTCATTGTTAAGATGGGCATGCTAATGAAATAAATTTAAAAATAAATTTGCCTGAACTTTTTGGTGAGATCATCAGTTTTCATAAAGCAATGATGAGTGGGCATGTTTCTGCAAACTAACATAGGCTTGGTCTGGAGAAAAAAAGTATGCTGTAGCCATTCCACAGTTCGGGGAGAAATAACGTGTCTTAATGGAAAAGTACCGAGTTTACCTCCTGCAGACGTGTAATTTGTGTATGCAGCCTCACTTACAGGGATGTGCCCTGCCTTTTTAGAAATCTTGTCATTTTTGTTT